TATTGGTAAATTTCAGTTTTTTCGGTAAAAAATCGTTACCGAACCGAGCTTAATCAAATTGTATATTTAGTGGTAAAATTTTAGTTTTATCGGTAAAAAACTATTACCGAACCGAGTTTCTGGTAACCGAAAACTCAGTTACCGATAACTATCGATACGGTAACGATTTCATATTTTGTTGTTACCGAAATAATCGATAAGGTATCACTTTGGTCTTATCGATTCGGTTACCGAATCGATACCAACCTTATGACATATCAATACTGCGTATAATAGTTAAGACTTGTGATATGCTAATAAATAGCTAGATGTGACTACCAGTTCCTCTCATGAAGTTAGAAATATATTAAATTGGCACTAAAATATTCATAATTCATCCCATCAAACCATATCTCCAGTTCACATACAAAGCAATTTTAGTTTCTAAGTACAAAAAATGAAAAAAAAAAATAAAAATTAAAAACAAATAAAAAAAGGATCTTATTAGCTTGGTCCACAAACTTTTAACAGGGGATTCTCTGTTTTTAAATGCCAATAATAATGAATTAAATGACAATGTACAAAAATTTCACGACCATTAATTTTATGTACTCAGCATCTCTTTGGCGAACACAAACAAGCCTGCAAAAAATAAGCATCCAATATTAAAATCTACAAATTCGGGTCTTAAATTACCGTTGGATCAAATGGGTGAAAATTTATTTGTTTCTTTTTACGAAAATTAATCAATTACTAAGTAAGTAAAGATTGATTGAATCGAAATTAATTTACACGTACATGGAAGATCGATTTCCTTCTAGTGCGAGTTTCGAGCTCGTCTGGTTCGGTGAAATCCGAACCAGACGAGCTCGAGAACATGCCTCTTTGGATCGGGGGAGACCAAAGTCCGCTTTTCGAGTAGTCGAAGTTGAATTCCGAGACATCGTAAAATTTGGACAGAAGCCTTTCGGACACGGATTTGGACACGAGCTGAATCGTCTGTGACGGGACTTGAGCTGCCGAGGCTGAGATGTCCGAGACGACGAATGACATTTTTTTTTTTTGAGAAAATAATAATAAATAAAAAAAAAGGAAGGCTGGGAAAAAAAGTGTTGTGTTATGTTGTGTAAAGATAATGAATGTAAAGGGGGCTTTGATAATTGGTGTGTTGTGTTTTGAGAAGAAGACAAAGTTGGGTTAAGGTGTTGGTTCTAATGAGATGAGAAGAATAATTTAGTATATACATAATGCATATGTGTGTTGTTTTTGTGTGTGTCAAAAAGTGAAAGATGAGTTGCACGATAAGGACGCGTATGGTTGTATCTATGTAATCATGAGAGTTGGAATTGGAGAAGAAGAACAAGGTTTGTGAGCCAACCGTTAGGTGCTTTTCAGCAAAAAAAAGTTTTTTCGTCCTTTTAAGTCAAGCCCGTTTTCATTTTGGTCCCGTAAATGGTCCGTTTTTTGAAATAGTTCTATAAGTGAAAAAATACAGACCATTTGTGGGACCAAAATAAAAACGGGCTTAACTTAAAGGACAAAAAAACCTTTTTTGCCGTTGCTNTCGAGATCGATTCGTCTCGTTTGATAAACAAGTCGAGCTCGAGTTCATTTAAAGTTCGTTCCGTTAACGAGCCGCCTCAGCTCGTTAAAGCTCGAAAATATAATTTTTTTTTATGTATTTTTTTATACTTCGACTCGATATTGGCTCGTTGAGGCTCGACTTCGGCTCGACTCGTTTACGCCCTTACATAATGGGGTGATTGCTTATAAATTATCCTGTTACTTTTGACAAGATAATTTTTTTAACTCAAAATATAACTTAAATATTACCCAACTCCACCTTCCTCAACAATAATAGTTAAATAACATCAATCAATTATCCACACACTTGACATCGACCATAATTTACTATTTATCCACTCACATAATTTTAGCCACTCACCATTTTCGATCACATATCTCATACTTTTAACTCAAATCAACTTTAATTAATATATTTGAAATATTATTTTAATACAAACTCAAAATTACATTCAAACCCACTCAATGAATCAATCAACTCTGATTATGCAATAAATCCATTTAAATCCACAATAACTTATATCCAATAAACTCTAAGAGGATGATTGGATATAAAAAATTTTGGTTTTGTTTGGAGTTTTTTGTTTGGTTTGGTTAATTTTGAAAAAGTTGGTATGGTTAGTTGTTAGTGGGTATATTAAATAATATTTAAAATAAAATGATTAAATTTGATTTGATGTAAAGTAGGTGAGAGAAAATTTGAAGTGATGGTTAGTTAAAATTATGTGAGTGGATGAATAGTGAATTAAGGTAAGGTGGTGTGTAAGAATGATTGATTGATATTATTTAATTATATTGATAATATTGATGATAGTGGGGTTGAGTTAAAGTTGAGTTAAAAAAAATGGTTGAGTTAAAAATGTTTGGATTTTTTTGAAAAATTTTGTATCCAAACATGCTCTAAGAATGGGATTGAAAACAAGAATATTCAAAAAGAAATCTCATTAAAAAAATAAAAACAAAATGTTGAAAAAAAAAAATAGATTGAGAATAAAGTGAGATGAATCTGAAATATGAATAAGTATAAAGTAAAAATATAATGATTTAAGTTAATAAAGAAATCATAAAACTACAACGGTAATATATTCCAATAGAATTTCAATCAACAGTATCAATGGATATTCCAATGTTTTGACCTCCGTTGAAATATTCCAACGCAAATGTTCCTTTGACATTTCTAATGGATTTTGACAATTCCAATAGTTTTTTAGTGGTTGAAATTATTGTGAGAAAAAACAATTCCTACAAAATTTTCAACAATAATAATCTGGACTGAATTCTCAAATTTCAGTTAAAAAAAATCAACCTAAACATTTTTATTTTTCTTGGACATTATGTCATTTTCTTGGGTAAATTCCTATTTATGGTATTACCCTCATCGTATTTATTGTACATAATGATATCGGTTTTGCTATGAATCCAACAGTTAGCTTCATAGTGGAACCAACCTTCTACATACAACAAATAAACTTACCATATTCTCTGATTACTTAAATAACATTAATATAATTTTATTAATATGGTAGGTTTATTTGTTATATATAGAAGGTTGACTCCACTATGGAGCCAACTGTTGGCTTCATAGCAAAACCGATAATGACATACATACATACACACAGCTAAAATCATCCATCTTAATTGTTTGGTTCATGTTATGACTGCTGATTAGACAGATTTGGCATCATTATCTTAAATTGTTAAGCTTCACATCAAGTTATATTTCTCAAGCTCATCACTAGTCAATATCTTTTAGTTCTTCTTCTTCTTCTTTTTTTTTTTTTTTTTTTGATACATAGGTTCCAGCCCCACCTTTTGGTGTTGCAGTCAGTCCTAACCCTAGTCCAGGCCCCTAGTGGATTTCGGGAGTTAAGTCAGAACTTACGTCAGTAGATTTCAATTATTTTTTTGATACATAGGTTCCAGCCCCACCTTTTGGTGGGGCAGTCAGTCCTAACCCTAGTCCAGGCCCCTAGTGGATTTCGGGAGTTATGTCAGAACTTACGTCAGTAGATTTCAATTAGATCCTTAGCTGTACACTCTTGGTCACCAACAAGTGGACCACTACAGGAAAATGCACAATTGGCCTCCCCCAGGTTTCGATCTTGTCACACGGAGCTTGCAAGCAAGCTTTTGAAGTCGCCCATCCCACCAATGCGCTACGCCCCCGGGGGAATCTTTTAGTTCATTAATCACAAAATAAGTTGTAGAATTATTGATGTGACTTAGGCTTTCTATCACTTGTCTGTTATTTGTTTGTTTGTGATTCACTGCAAATAAATTATCATATTCCAACATAATTAAATCCTGCAATAATATATTATAATGGAAATTTCAACAGATATTTCAATGGTATAGCTTCCGTTGAATTGATTCCAACGTTAATTTCAACAAAACTATTCCGTTAGAATGAGTTTTTCATTAGAATTTTAGATGAAATTTGATAATTCCAACGCCTTTTTATGTAGGAATTTCCATTGAAATATACAATTTCGGTTGGAATTTCTATTTTCACTCATATTTCAATCATTGGAAAATTTACTGTTGGAATCGTCAAAATTCAACGGAAATTTCAGTGGAACACTCATTCCAATTAACGGAATATTTTTGTTGGAATTTTCGTTGGAATCCATTGAATCAAAGAAAATAATAGCATTAGAATATCCATCGGAATTGCCATTGAAATTCCATTGGAATATATTTCCGTTGGAATTTCATCATTATCTTGTAGTGACTAGTCTGAAATTAAATTATAATAATTGCTTACACTGCCATGATTTAAATTAGAAAAATATTTTGCATACATGAACATTATTAGTTGGCTATGTTTAGGGTAATCATAATTGTATTGGAATTAGTCTAATAATAGACCAAAATTCATGAAAATGGACATCATCGGGTTGGCCATATGCTTATTATAGAACATTTGGATGCCTAAGTTTTCAAATATTTAATTATAAAATATTTTAACGGTCATGATCATTTTAAAAAAAAAAAAATGTTAGGTAACGTTTATAAAATAACCAGCAAACGTTAGACACCTAGAATAAGACGCTGTTGATTATTAAACGTGGTTTTAGAATTGATGAATGTCTAATTCATGATGAGAATAGATTTTATTTGAATTACATTGTAAATTGACTTTGACGAATTGAAATACTACTATTAGTTTATTTATAGGACTAATCATTAACAATTCTATAAACATTACATTATATGTATTCAAATTTAAAATATTGAGACTGAAAAATCTCTTAAAATTTTAAATTCATAAAAGAACAATTTAGCATGATCCATCCAAGCATAATCTCAACTTTAAAAGTAGATAATTTTATAAAATTCATCTCCCAACACAAGATACTAGCAAAGAGAGGTAAAAACATAATAAGTCTCATTTGGATAGCAGCAAAGTGGAACGAGGGATTAAAATTGAAGGAAAATCACAATTTTAACCCTAGAAATCCCAATATCAAAAAACCATGGCCACGCTTCTTAGCACTACTGTCGCCTCCTCCGCCTCTGTCGCCCACAGTGACTCCATGGCCCCGATCGCCACCGCCCAATCCTCGTTTGGGCACCGTCGTGCACAACTTGTAAAACACGGTGGGCGCATCTTTTTTCTCTCGACCGACGAGTAGGTCCACCAACGGCAGAATCGCGTCGCACGCACCAATCGAGAGCCTAACCTCGTTCATCGCGGCCAAACTGAGGAAGGCTCAAGCGCCTTGGTGCCCATCCGTAGGGCGTATATTAGGGACTTTGCACCACCACCAACGCGATTATGGTTTTGTTGCCATCATGGAGGGAGAGGTTGAGCAGGGTCGTGACGGTGTGCTCCTGGGCCTGAAACCCTCGATCTGGTGACCGTCGACGCCTTGTGAGTGTTGTGACCCTCAATGTCCCTTGGAGATGTGAATTCGCTCGTTCTTGCATCGATCGATTTGTCCCCTCGCTAAGCCTCGTATCGTAAATAGAACGATTTAACGCCGATGATTATCTATTGCAGAGATTCACTGAGAAATCAAGGTATCGACACAACTATCCCTTCCAGTGGGAGGGACGGTGGAGAAGCTCGGGGTATCAACAATGCAAAAGATCGATCAATCAATCGATAAACACCATATACATATACACTGCCCTCATATCTATTGATCTTCCAATATTATGCAAAACACTCGGCTATATCCATACAATCGTTCAATAAAAGTCTCAGAGAACAAGCTTCTTTCTAATCGCCATAGCCGATCGGCAACATCAGGTCTTGCTCTTTTTATGCATATTCATTTTACTCCAATCTTTCAATATTCTGTATCACTAAAACATATCATAAATATATTGTAATCTCCTATTAAACTGCCTTAAACACACTTGCTATAACCGTTGGTGATCCGTCATCAACAAAACGTAAGGAATTAAGGAAACGTAAATAACACTTCACTAAATTATCCGTAACACATCAACATTTTATCCTGGTGGAGCGACTAATGCATTGTATTCGATCATATTATCAACTTAATATATCTGTTTTGATATGACCCAAATCCATGTCTCGTTTTTCGACAATGCCTATAATCATTCTACCTCAACACTAGGCTTAAATATTTGGGCCTGGATAGTCGCTGAAACTAGTCTGCTCTCCACAAAATTCTGTCATATGGGTTAGCTGCTGTCAGCATGACGTAATAGAGTATTATTGAGCTTTGGGCCCATTGTAGGCTTCACATGGCTCTTTGTTGCTCCAGCCCAATCTCTCAATAGCCCTAATAGAAGCAAACAAAACTGAAGCAAAAGCCCACCACTTGACAGCAGTCTTTGCTGTCCAAAAAANAAAACGTAACCTTTTTGCAGTCCCATTTGCAGAAAACAAGGGGAATACCAAGATCTTACGTTTACTTCTTTCAAATTTCACTTTTTCTTTTGAAATCCCACCTCATTTTTCACATTTTCTGAGGAGATTTTCGTTCAAAGTCTGTAGATTAATGGCGGCTTACAGAGCAGAAGATGACTACGATTATCTCTTCAAAGTGGTTCTGATAGGGGACTCGGGCGTGGGCAAATCCAACTTGCTCTCGAGGTTCACCAGGAATGAGTTCAGCCTCGAGTCCAAATCCACCATTGGCGTTGAGTTCGCGACCAGGAGCTTGACCGTCGATGGGAAAGTCATCAAGGCTCAGATTTGGGACACCGCCGGCCAGGAGAGGTAACATTTTTTTTTTTTTT